CTGGACTTCAACAGACAAACCACCTTCCTCCCGGCTGCTACACATCTTGTTTCATGATGCTACTCTGAACTCCTGGTTTTAAGAGCACATTTTCTCTCACTCCATCCTGCCAACAATCTAATTAACAGGAAAGACAGCATCATGGGCCCCCACCCTTTATAGAGAGAAAAAGAGGCTGAAGTGGGGTATTTGTTGAGTGCTTCCTATGACTACATGTCTTGCTAAACAGGTCTTATGTCAATTAATCTTCATGAGGAAGATACACTGTCATCATCTCATTCCACATAAGAGTACTGGAGCTTCCAGAGGTGAAGTGAGTCGCCTGAGGCCACACCCTAAGTAGAGGAGTCAGGATTCAAACTCAAGTCTTATCACAAAATAGGTCTGCTTACAAACTAAATTACACTGCTTCTCATTGTGCTAGGTGCTTTATCCTACAGCATTATCCTATTTGATGATCTCATCAGCCTGTGAGGAAGGAAGTCTATTTTCATAGGTAAATAAACTGAGTTTGGAGAGGTGAAAAACACCTGACCCAGATGACACAACTGGTAATCGGTACTATTTCTTTGGTAGTAACTATATTGGCAGGAAATGGGCATTTAAACTTCTGATAATATTTGCAAACTCAGTTGAACTAAAATAGTGATGACTAGTAAAAGCTTCTCAAGTGATAGGGCATGGAGAGGAAAGGGTTAAAATATGACTTCAGCCTGGCCGGGTGTGGCTCAGTGGTTGAGCGTCGACCTAGGATCCAGGAGATTGGGGTTCGATTCCTGGTCAGAGCACATGCCCGGGTTGCCCGCTAGGCAGCCGATCAATGACTCTCTCATCATTGATGTTTCCATCTCTCTCTCTCTCCCCCTTCCTTTCCTCTCTCTGAAATCAATAAAGATATGTTAAAAAAAACAAAAAATAAAAAAAAACACATGACTTCATTTGAAACAGGTGGAGGGACAACGCAGAAATCTACATATTTAGGGGCACTCAAATCAGTGCTTAATGTTGACTGCCTATGCATAGAGCCTGTTCCCTTAGCACCTCAAAGCAGCTCCTTGTCATACCCAACATTTCCAACATACAATGAAGTCAGGACTAGCACATGAAGTTTTCTGATTGTCTCAACCTCTAGAACAGAGGTTTTGTTTTGTTTTGTTAATGAAGCTATTCAGAGGTCCTGTTTTCAACAAGCCTGAAGAATTCCAGCAGATGGTTGAGCCTGGTTTTGCCTTATCCAACTAAGCATTCCCTAAAACCACTTGCAATCTCTCTTGGACTAAATGATCAGTAAACAGATTTATTCATAATCTACGAATCTAAAGGTAACATCACCAATTTGCCAAAGAAATACTATAAACATAATAAACCTGATCAAAAACATTGTCAAAATTACAACAAAGCACATGCCTAAGTACAGCTTTTCCCTCTCAATTGTATGCCTTAAAGAAATTAATCAACCACAATTTTGAAAATGAAATTATTAACCAGCTACAGAAACCAAAAATTATCTGAAAGTAGTCACTTTAATTCCGCACAACAGCTGAGAGATGCTTACCCTCAGAATCACTAAAACCAACAACAATCCAGTTTGCACAAACCCGGAGAACTAGACGTGCTGGCTTAACCACAATGGAATAATAGTAAAGCCCTATCAAAAACAAAATCCTTCTTCAAATCTAATGCTAGCTTAATCTTAAGGAGGATTTCACAGCAGTTAGTCTCTTGAGGAAATACATAATTAAGTAGTTTTTTAGCATATTTAATTAGACCCCAAACTCTTCCCTGTCCCCTTCTCTCCCCAATTATGTACCATTTGCCCAAGAGACCTAAGCAACTCAATTATGTAAATAAGGCAAGCGTTATTCCCAAGAAAAGCATTGTGAATATTTGTAGGGGGAAAAACTACATATTTTACTGGCTTTAACAAACCTCTGAAAAATACATGGGAAAACCTTATGTTGGAGGCAAAAAGCATGGAGGTTCAATGACAAGACGGTGAATCATTAAAAGAGGACACTCATTTCCCTTCTTAAATATGAGCTGAATAAAAATAAAATAATTTTAAGTTACAACAAGCAACAAAAATTTAGTGCTGAACGTCAAATGATTTATGGGAAGAATCAATCTGGAAATTATTAAAGTCGACTCTCACAGAAAAGGCTTTATTATCAAGGGGTTGACATGATCTTAACTCCAGAGGCAGCCATGGTGCTGTTATAACTACTACAATCCCATTATTATGCAATCACAAAATGCTAATTTGATCATTTTGAGGTGTTATTTGAATAGTCATTTTAATTTCTAGGTTACAAAAAGGCTTGACTCAAGTATAATTCTCTATTAATCATTGAGATGTCATTGAATATCATATTGATGCATTTCACAAAGATAAAGACTAATTTAATATGTACAGTACAATATCCTTCAAATATTAGCCACTTTCATTACATATCTGCCAAATGCATCAATATTAAATAATAGATGAGAACAAGGGTTTAATTGTATTTTAGCAGTTGTAATATGTAGGATAATAATAAAATAGCATCTCATCACAAAATACTCATATAAATCTTTCTTAATCAATGTGTAATGGTGCCTTCCCCACATTCTTTGCTGCTTACAAATAGACTTGATGTGACAAAAGCATCGAGTCTTAAGTGTAAACACACACCTAGCAAAAATAATTCCTTTGTGACTGAGGAAATAGCTTCTTTACATTTAAAAAAAATGTCTCCTTGTTACTTTGAAAGTTAGATACATAGCAAGCAGAGAACACAACCTTCTGACAAATTCAAGCCTAAGTATTCATAAAAGAATCTAATGGTATGATGAGAATTCTAGAATATAATATTTTAAAAGATCTGTGCTATTTTGCTGGCATCAAAGCATTATTACATATTAATTATTCCCGCAATTACATCCTCGAACAATGAGATGGTTTCAGGCAATGGAAGCAAATAAATTCCAACCATGTAACCTAACCCAGTAACTTCTCACATATCTAAATGAATCAACTGTAGTATTTAAGAAAAAAATCCTCTACAGCCCAACTTGCCATTTTCCAGAGGCTGACATTCTTGACCCCTAGAGGGACCCTTCCTTCTCTTTGTTGCATTTCACAAGAAAAAATAAGAGAAGGCTTAAGAGAAGCTTTACATCAATACAATCTCTAATTTACTAAAAGTACTTTCAGATGTTTTTTGAAGAAAACTCTGAGCGTATTAGTATCCTTATGTTATCTATGCATTTTGTTTCCAGTTCCTGTTCTCCTTCCCACCAACATCAATAACCTCACATGCCTATGGCCATACATGTTCACTTAAGCCTAGGGAAACAAGCTTCACTGTATGAGGTAAAAGTGTTTTGAAGAGAAAACATCTTGCTCAAAGATGACAACTGACAGAAGCTGCACATAACCAGAACTTGAATATGAAAAATGCAAACATAAGCAAAGAGCTGTATGTTTATTAATTGCAATGGTGTTGAAATAAGACAAATTGTACACAACCCCTCCAGGCAACAAGCTATCACTCAGCACCCCTACGCCACTGCCAGACAGCAAACATAATGGCAATAAATATAAAAATCAACTGCTACTGTCTTCTGAAAGAGGCCCAGCTCAGCACAGACAGACTGAATGGCAGGGAATGGTGTTTGTGTGGGGGGAGATGAGCGCATGGAACTATACTCCACCTAAAATAGTGGCCATTTTCCTAAAAGGAAAATAAGCTAATGTTACAACTGCAAATTGATAGAACAGAAAAAAAGTATTTTGCATAGCAAGTGTCAAACAAGATTCCTACAATGAAATACAAGCAAAGCAAGGGCCTAGAATTCTGAAATGAAGCTCGAACCTTAATAATTCCTACAGTTATAATAAAGAATCAGACAAGACAATGCTGTCTCCTAGAACCACTTTCAAGGTTTTACCAACACAATTAGACCTTGATTGATCACAACCCAACTAACCCAAACCCTCAAGTACACTTAGGAGATAAAAAAGAAAAAGCAAACACATATCTGAGACACATCCTAGGTCTGGTTTTGTTTTAATCCTTCTAAACATATTGTACTATGGAAACAATGTTAAAGCTAATTCAGACATTTTTACATCCTCGGACTTAGAAAATGTGAGTGACATTCTATACTTATCGAGTCATTTTTTAAACCCCAAACCTAATAATAATAATAATATAATAATGATATCAACAATTCCACTTGATTGAGGTTCTACTTAAAGCAGCGATTTTCAATCTTTTTCATCTCATGGCACACATAAACTAATTACTAAAATTCTGTGGCAAACCAAAAATATATTTTTTGCCAATTTTTAAAAAAATAGGTATAATTTTGATTGATTTACAAAAAAATATATAGTAATAGTAATTACCTACACTTTTTGCTTCAAAGTGTCTTTTTAAAAAATCAGGTGCCAATATTTGTATATAAGAATTTCTGTTACCAAGAATTAACCAGTCAGATGCAGCCTTATTTTACTTTTTTAATCCTCACTAGAGGATATTTTTTCCATTGCTTTTCAGAGAGTGAAAGGAAGAGAAAGAGAGAGAAACATCAACATGAGAGAGACTCATCAACTGGTTGCCTCCACACTTGCCCTCACCCCCACCGGCGCAGGGACTGAGCCTGCAACTGAGGCACGTGCCCTTGGCCGGAATTGAACTCAGGACCCCTCAGTCCGAGGGCCAACCCTCTAACCACTAACCCGAACCTGCTAGGGCCAGACGCAGCCTTACTATGTGATGTGACCAATAAGACACAACTCTGTTATATGACCTATATATTTATGGTCCAAGACAGGGCATTCACACCAGATGTCTATTGTCGTGTTGGCTGTTATTTTTTTATCTGACAACCTAAGGGAAAAGAGGTCAGTGCCCCTGACAAAATAGTCAGGTATTGTATTGCATGTTTTAAAAATTCTGATGGCACACGGGTTGAAAATTGCCGACTTAAAGGGACAAAGTTTCATTTTTACTTACCTTGCCATCAAATTTGGAATATTCATTAAAGGGGTTGTTCAGTTGCAGAGGGCACTGCTCCAGGCGTACAGATAATATTGACTGCTTCCCAGAACTTGGAGGTTTCTCTTTGAGGGACTTTTTTTCAAACAGTGACTTTAACTCCTGGGCTGTGATAGAAGAGGAAGATAAAAACAATTTTGTGGTTACACACACAGACAGCCAGTCCACCTTCCCTAAAAAGTCTTCCTTGGCACCTTAAGGAGGGAGGGCCCAGGGTCATACTCAGGTCTAATGTGTGAAAAAAGCCTCACATATACTTCAATGTTTGTGCACTGAAAAAGACACAGGTCAGGATTGTCAATTTGGAAGAACTAGGGCTTAAGGGGGGCAGGGGTGGCAGGACAGAGTCAGACAAACCAACAAAGCAGCCATTCTGTAAGAAGCTAGAGGACCTGAGCTTTGGCCCAGCTTTGCCACTACCAGGTGTGTAATACCAGATGATTCACTAAACCTTTCTGGGCTTGTCCAACTAGACAATCTTGAGTACCTCTCCTGGCCTAATATTGTGTGATTTTGGAATTATAGTTCCTCAAGGTCAAGGTCTCACATCTTAATCCTCTCACATTCTCCAATGACACCTAGCACAAAAATCAGGAAGACAAAGCTGAAGAGGAGGAGAGGGAGAAAGAGTATTAGTGTAATAGTAGCTGACACTTACTGAGCAAGCTAATGTATCCCGTTTACTCCTCATAACAAGCCTGTGAGGCAGATACTAGCATTATCTCAATTTTGTCAATGTGGAAAATGAAGCTTAGGATTTGATCAGCCCTAGGCCACATACACAACTAGTAAGTAGCAAAGCTAAAATCTGCCCAGTCAAGGCACTTAGCCATTAGAAACCAATGAACAAAGTAGACTCTCAATAAATAAATTCTGTTGCATGAATCAACGAATAAAATAATTACGGAAGGAATTCTGATTCAATTATTCATTAGTAAGTCAAGACAAGTGAGTTCCGTATCTTCTCAAAGATCATTTAACTCTCTGAATTAACCTGAATATCATTTAAAGTAATAGCTCGTTAAGTACATTATACCTTTTATTTTCGTGAATGTTAGAAAATTTCATACTTGGTTTTTTAAATCAATCAATCTCAGGCCTTAAAATCTGCAATGAATAGGTTCAGCTCCATTCTATTCTTGAGCACAGCCAAACTGAACTGAGAGAAATCAAGCAGACCTCTGAAATAGCAGTCACTTAGAAATTTTTAAAAAATGTAACTAAAACTATCTTTTCAACACACTAGTAGGACAAATTTATCAAATGCGTCCCTATAGATTTTAAGTGGTAAACCAAGAGAAAAGGACCCAATTCTTTTTTTAAATGTGGCACTTGGCTATCCAATTCCAGATTCTGAATATTTAAATACATGTAATCAACAAATATTAAATGCACACTTGAAAAAGTTTTAAAGTTGTATTTTAAATATTACATTTAATATCTCTACAATTCAATATATGGAAAGCATACCTTAATTAAAAAGTAAATAAAAGGGGAAAGCCTAAATAAATATCCTCAACATGCTGATAATTCTCAAATGATTATTCCTAGACCTTAAACACCCCTTAAAATTACAGACTTACATATTCAACTTTCTATTTGACACCTCCACTGGGATATCCAATAAGTTATCTCAAACTCTGCATGTCCATAATCAAACTCTTGGTCTTCCCCCACATCTGCCCCTCTCACAATCTTATCCTTCTCAGTTATTGGCAACTCAATACCATTAGGCCAAATGGCAAAAATAAACCACCTTAAACTTTTTTTTAGTAATCATATTGTTAGTAATAACACTGATATTTCTTTTTTATAAAAAAAAATATATATCTTTATTGATTTCAGAGAGAGGAAAGGAGAGGGAGAGACAGAGATAGAAACATCAATGATGAGAGTCACTGATCGGCTAGCCCGCAACCCAGGCATGTGCCCTGACCGGGAATCAAACCCCGATCGCCTGGATCCTAGGTCGATGCTCAACCGCTGAGTCAAGCCCGGCAGGGCATAATAACACTAATGTTTCTATTGTGGAACCAAGTTTTCAGTGTAAGACAAAACATAAACATAAAATTAAAAAAGTTAAGTAAACACCCTATAATCCTAAATTGAACTGAAATTATCAACATTAACTCACAATGTATTTCCTCTTCAAAAAACTATTTTTTTCTTTTTAGCTCTATGCTCTGAAAAGGCCGAAAGGAAAAGCCAATCCAGTGGGAACCCCTAAATCTCAGGTTGTGGTTTCTTAATGCCAATGACCAGTAAAAAGAACCAAGATTCCTTGGAGAAACGGCTGATTCCCAATTTGGAGAAGGAAATGTCTAAAAGGAGTCTCGAACACCTTGTCATACAAGAAAGCAAGGAAGCTATGAAAGATTACTAGAATTGTGTCAAAAGAACTTAGAAGCCAATGTGAAGGGACTCACTATCAAAGGGGCAGTTTTAACATAAAAAAATAACTGCAATGAATTTAAAAACACAAAATGTGCTTTAAAAACCCATGAGTTTATAAAGATACAAAGGGGAAAAAACTCGAATTAGTCATTTAAACAGGATGCTAGAGAACAAACTCTTAATGCTGGAAACTGTTAGCAAAGGAAAAGAATCAGCATTTATCCTGCCTTTTTTGCTGGGACTATAACTGAGGATAACCAAATAACAGGTTAGGGGAACTTCTTCCTTATATAAAACAAATTAATAAATGAATAAAGACTGATAAAATTAGAAATCATTATTTTGCCACTCCTAAAGAAATAATACAATCCAGGTAATGCCCTTCAATGGCCACAAAAATCATTAGATGAAAAGCTGATGGGGGTAACTTAATGGATGGACAACACCTGATTCTACATCACAAAAAGACAAGAAATTCCATGTTTCCTAATATGTGGCAATAGGAAGTATAGACCAACATGTATAAAATATTCTTACCAAAAAGCAAACTTCAATCTGAGCACGTTTCTAGTAACTACCAGCACAGGAAATAAAAAGGACAGGGAAGCATATGAAACGAGACCGTGGTGATACAATTAGCAGAATCCAGAAAGTCAGAAATTCTACGGGACAAATGACCCGGTTTCTTCAACTAATAAATTACAAGGAAAAAAGTGAAGGAGAATCTACAGATTAAAAAGGAAACGAGACATGTTAACCAAAAGTAATGTGTGGACCTTAGATCTAGACCTAAACAAATTAACTGGGACACACACACACACACACACACACACACACACACACACACAGAATGAAAACAATTACAGAAATGTTCAACAATATTAAAGAATTCCTGCTAATTATTTGAAGAGTGGTGGTACTGCAGCTTTCTTATATGTTAAAAAATGTGTATGGCCTGGCTGGAGTGGCTCAGATGGTTGAGCATTGCCCTGTGCACCAAAAGGTGGCAGGTTTGATTCTGGTCAGAGCACATACCCAGGTAGCGGGTTCAATACCCGGCCAGGGTGGGTGCATATGGAAGGCATCTGATCGATGTTTCTCTCTCTCTCCCCCTCTCACTTCCTCTCTCTCTAAAATCAATAAAAATATTTTTTGTTTAAAAATGCATATAATAGCTGGGATTTGCTTTAAAAAAATCTGGAGGGGAGGTGAATGTATAAATGACACAAGACCGGCCATATGTTAATAACTACTGAAGCTGAGTGATGGTTGTATGGGGGTTCATTATGCCATTCTCTCTACTTTTGTATATGTTTTAAATTTTCTATAATAAAATGTTGTATTAAAGAAAATTAAGCTAGAAATAAAAAAGTAACATTACTACTCTGATCAAATACCTCAGAGAATAAAAATTAAATCTCCTACAAGATCTTCCATGATCAAGTCTCCCACTACTTACTTTTCTGATCCCACTCTTCCCCTTACTTACTCTACTCTAACCAATAAGCACCATTCCTTGCTATTCCTTGAATACATCAGGAACGCTTCTGTCACAGAAACTTTCCATTTGCTGTTTCCTTGTCTTACAACACGAATCTCCCAGTATCTGCCTGGCTCACTCCTTTACTCCCTTCAGAGCTCTGCTCAACCATCACCTTCCCAATGAGTCTTTTTGATCACTCTGTATAAAATAGCAAAATCCCCTGCATAATATTCCTTATATCCCTTACCTGGCTATATTTTTCTTTATGTCACTTATCCCATTCTGACACGCTATGTTTGTTTACTGTCTATTTCCCCCACCAGCTCCTTGAGGGCAGGGACTTTGTCTTGTCCACTGCTATATCTTCTAGGCCTACAGCAGTACCTAGCTGCCCTTGCATACTGCAGGGGCTTAATAAATACTTGCTGAATGAGTAACTCTGGACCAGAGAAACAGGAAAAGCAGATGGGCACAAAAAAGCAGAGATAAAATGGGGAAGGTCATGAGAGCCCTAATTCCAACCTATTCAAAGATATAGCTGTACTTCTAGAGTTGCTCAACTTTAAGTTGCTCTTCAATTTCAACTTCATGTAATTTTGTTATTTGCAACTGGAAAATCCTAACCAATATAAACAGCTGGAAGTCCCCAACAAACTTGAAACTGAAAAAACAATAGCCTAAAAATTCAACTATCAGGTTTATGAAAAAGTACATAGTACAGCATCCAGGAAGATGAGAATGCATATTAGAACTAATAAGGGTTCAGTGAGTGGCTGGATACAAAACAGATATATGAAAACAAAAGATTTCTTTATAAGAGCAGTAAGAAAGTTACAGGGAAGATGTTATTTACAAGGATAACATGAAATACAAAACATCTAGAAATAACCTTAACAAGAAATGTAAAAGTACAAGAATAATACAAGATAACACCAAACAATGCATTCATGTAGTATTTTTATATATAAAAAAATATTTAAGATCACAGGAGGTATGATTAGAATATTTTTTAAATATATACCCACATATATAGAATCTGAATAAATACATCAAAATGTTAACAATAGCAGTTCCTCTGAATGTGAGATTATTAGTAGCTTATTTTCACTCAGACTTCCTATAATGATTTTTTTTTTTTTCCAGTCGAGAGGTTTTAGCCCTGGTTGAGTAGCTCAGTTGGATAGAGCATCACCCTGATATGCTAAGGTTCAGGTTTGATCCCCAGTCAGGGCACATACAAGAATCAACCAATGAAAGCATAAATAAGTGGAATAACAAATAAGGCTTTGGCAACTTTCCTGAACCCTGGCCATAGCTGACACACAGAGAAGAAAATGAATTAGAAACACCAAAGATCCTCAATACCCAAAGTTCCAGGAGCAGTCCCTTTCTGGCTACAGTCTGAGAGAGAATGGAGTAGAGTGGAAAGACTAGCATCTTTGGCATCAGATTGGCTTGGAGAGTTCTGGCTTTGCCACTTACTACCTGTAAGTAAGTGACTGAGAAGAGTTACTCAGCCTCTGGGCTTCAGTTTTTCTCATCTATGATAGAGCAATATTGACAGCTAGTCTGTAAGGCCTGCATGAAGGGGAAGCAAGCCTAGTGGCGGCATGTTCTATACCAGTAGTCCTCAGGGCCGGTAGTCACCAAAGTCTCCCAGAGAGCTTCTGAAAACACAGATTTCTGGACTCCAACCTCCATCTACTGAATCAGGAATTCCATAGGTAGGGCCCAGGAACTTATACGAATGTCATTATAACATGCACTTTTGGATCCATTTCTGATTTTTATTCAGCCACTATATCTGGAAACTGTTGTTTTAAGAACCAGTAACAAGTTACATGAAGAAAATTACAGGAATATTCTTAATAATTTATATAAACTACACTATTGCCTTGAGTTGTTTTTTAACTTCATGTGTAAATAGCCTTGTCTTCCAGTTAGACTTCAAACTTCTTGAGGACAGGAATCAGGCACCCTCCCCAAGGCCCAAGCAGAGGCACTGCACGCACAGAAGTTACCAAAGGAATACTTGCTAAATGGCTCAGTGAGCACAAGCAATAGCTAACTCTGTAAGGAGTATGTCAAAGCCATTTAAAACAATAAACTAAAATATTGGGCCTTGACCTGACGCTACTCTTGAAAAAGCTGTCTGCCAATGACCATCTTCACATTCATCTATGCAGTTTGGGTTATGGAAATAAGAAAAGGATCTTACTCTAAGGTATTTCATTTATCATGAGGTCTCATGGCATATGGATCAGTAAGTTCATAAAGAACTTCGGGGTATGGGCCAGATGGCTAAGCTCCCTTCCCACTCCTCTATGAAAAGGCCGCATTTATGCCATCTTAAAGGAGAGACTGCATTAGACAGAATAATTACAGAACATTCCAGTGAAGGCCATCATATTCATACTGGTGATTCCTCTAGTGGGAGATGAAATAAAACAAGTAAGAAAAACACCTGAAAGGATTTCAACAAAACATAAATTGCAGAAAATGAATGAAGGAAGGAATAAATGATTACTTAACCAAATTTCTCAATTGAGATCAAAAGGATCTGGCCATGGCATTTCTTACCAAAAGAGAGTGGATGTGTGAGAGATGTATGAAAATAGAATGGTTGCTCAGTGTGCCAGGTAGCTATTTAGTGGACTGCTTGCGCCACTTTTCTCACATGTTCCAGGATATGCAAAATGCCAAGCTGTGGTAATGATGAAACCCAGTTTAACAGAGAAGTCAAAGACATTTCTTTGTGCATTGACGAGGTTCACTCCTAATGTCAGGAGTAACCGCCAGGCAGGCTACTGGTCTGGCCAGAATCAAGGTCAACATTTCAAAGCATGAACAGGCATATTAAGGAGCTTTTCCAGAAATAAGATCACGGGGTCAATTATTGAAATCTGACACAAAAATAAGAGGAAAGGAAACTGAGGGAGAGAGAAGTATTCATATATAATGGACAATGTAGTTAACAAATGAAAGCAAAACGGAAACTATTTACTTCTCCAGTATATTCTGTGAAATACTGAACAGACATTAAAGCGGGTTAGACTTTAAGGAGTAGGAGACATACAAAATTTATTAGATGGATCTAATTATTAGATTACTAGGTATATCAAAATTTATGTTGAAGAACTTGCCTCCCACACTGTAAAAGGGGTTAAAGCAATTATATCTGGGGTGCTCTATTCATCCTGTTATTTACTTATATAATTTTTTAAGATAAGGAAGTGAGGAAGGCAAAACAAAGGGCAGGTGGAGAGATGGGCTTAGATAAGCTGACTCTATTCATTAAGAAGATTAACAGAAAAAGCATTAAGATATATAAAAATGAACAATATAAACCATATAAAGGTTTTTCAGTTTGCACTAAATACAATAGAGAGAAATACTAACTGGTTCAACAAAAAGGCCAGCCAAGAGAGATTTTTAATGTATCAAAAAGAATATATAGGAAGTCACAGAAATGAGTTGTAAGAAAGAGAAGTGGGGTTTCTGATTCTATTGGGTCATCATTTAGAAGCAACCACTAAGAAAATCAGGCCCTTCGGGCACATTCAGGTTTACAATCATAGTAGGAGAAAGCAATAGCCACTTTATATAGTGTGGTTTAGCAGAAAGAGATTGGCAGGTAGAGGCAGACAGTGCTAGATACAAAACATGGCTCTATACTGCACTACCACTTCCTAGCCTTGTAACTTTAGCAAGTTTAATCTCTTTGAGCCTCTATCTCATCTAATCAATGATACTTACACCTTATAAGATTGGTGCACTGGAGGTAATCCATGTAAAGTGCTTAGAACAGCACTAGATAGGTGCCAATGTTACTATAATAATCATTAATATTGTTAGTTTTATAACAGTATGTAGCAATGGAGTCAGTCAACAAAAGTTTCTTGGACATCTATTAAATGCCAGGGTGGCACTGGGAGGTGCTGGGAAGATACAGAGGACAGACTGCAGGCATTTCTTTGAAAGGAGAAAAAGAAAGTCTAGGAAACATGATACAAATATTGGAAAATATTTTAATAGCACTTTATTTTGAAATTTTTTTAAAAAGTCTTCTCTTATTGAGATTGAAGCTTTGAAAATACATAATACGGCCAGCTTCTTAACATACATATCATATGAACACATACTGCAAATGCTAGTAATACCAGTAACATAATGGTTTTTAAGCTGAAGGAAATAATTAGCATATATGCAAAAGGATTGTTACTAGGGCCACTAACAAGGCAAGATAAAGTCTAGGTTAAAACTGCCAGGAGGAATCTATAGCCCAGAGGCCCTCCAAATCGTAGGTACTCTTTGGCTCTAAGAATAAGGTATCAGCACGACTGTTTGTACAAAATGTGCCTGCCTTGCACACATCAATTCCTTTGACCCAGACTGAAGAGTGGCCCAAAACACAAGACCTAAAAAACACGCAACTTCAGAAGACCAAGGCACCCAAAGACCTAAAGAACACCCAACTTCAGAAGACCAAGGCACCCAACGGAAGAGTTCAAAGCTCAAAACACAAGACGTATCTGCCCAGAACATTTAAAAGGATGAATTAAAAATAAAAGCTCTTATATAATAATATATACTAAATATATAAATCTCAAATTAACAATTAAAATTATTTCCATTTACCTGATTGCTTAGAATTTCTTTCTTTCCACTGAATATTTTTGCATTTGATCTGGTTTTGTCTCTCTTTTCGGAGTCGTTCTAATCTTTGAGCTTGAAAAGAAATATTATAACTATAAGTTTGTCCATGAAAGTTTACTATAAACAAAGACATAATTAACTACCTTTATATGAATAAAGATGTTTTATATTGTATATGTAGGAAAAAAGTCATAAAATTATAAAGGTGGCACCCCTGAAAAGCAAATACCAACAAAAACATGAAAATATTCTTGATTTATAATTGAAATTAGAGGATATAAAACATTAATAGAGATCATAAAGATAGTATTAACATGGAAGAGAATAATAAAATGTGAAAACTTCTGTGATTAATATGACATTTCATTATATAAATCATTAATAACGGTCTTAAAGGAATTTTAATGCACAAATGAACTGAAGTGAATATTACATTACAGGAATAAAATTACTGTTATGAATTACTCTACCCGTTTCAAAAATTAAAGATAAATGAACTCAGACTAGACTATTAAAGTTTTAAATATAAAATCCTTTATCTAAAAATCATGAAAATTATAAAATGTCAAAGCTATATAAATTAGCATAGCTTTTCTTCAGTGGGCTGAAACAGTTTATAGGTAGTAAAATAAATGATTTGTATCTTTGTAACATTAGTCAAATCTTAAAAAGAACAATTTTTCTTATACAAAATTTTAAGATATGCTGAAAGGATTGAAAAGTAAATTCCTTGGTCACAGGACACACCACAATCTTAATTAATTATTAGCATCTAAGTGCCATCTTAAGAAATTCCAATGACAATAAAAAATCAGGATCTAAAAGTATGCATTTGTGATTATATTATCACAGGCTGATCAACCTTCAAAAATCAGTTGAACCAATCTTTTACATAAATATTATCCAGCATATATTAACAACTGCTGCCCACAGAGACCACAATGGAAAAGAAAGTCACAATTAATGCCATCTCTTGAAATTAGTTTCCTCTTACACTTTCTATCGTGGCACAATGCTAACAAAAAAAATAAATTAAATAAGTAAATTTCCCTTTCAAGGTAGGAAATCATACACTCCTGCCTTAGCACTGTGGTAGGGAAACACAAACTAATCTTCCCAGAAATTTAAACTATGCTGGCAAAAAGCACTCTGACAATGCCACTATAATCTAACCAAATCCCACTCCATTCAATTGTAATTAATAAATGTGAAGGGTACAGCCAAAGTAATATAATCATGAAGCTCTCAATTGAGCAGCATTCTCCAACTGAAATCCATTCAACCTGTCATATAAGATATCATCTCAATAACCTACAAGGAAGTCAGTTTCAACTAGAGAACTGAGAATCAATGGTTCTAAATTATATTCAAACCTTCACTCAAATCCTATTTTGATACAGTTTCCTTTAGATACTAGAAAATGCTATTAATTATTTTCATCATGAGAACAAATTATTCTTTGTGGATGTCACAGTATGCTGAATTCTGAACCAAAACCTTAACATGCCTTTCCCTGTAAATTGTATCCTGCTCTACCTGCAGTCTCCTTCATGTAAATATTTGCAATGATCTACTACATCTCCTGCTACTACTTTTCCTGGGAGTTAGCAGGTTACTGCTACTGATTAGGTTATATTTTCTGATTGGCCTCCTCCTCAAAAAAAAATCTCAGAATATTCTGTCATAGCAGAACTACATTATATATTCTAAATAATTTATATGTCTAAGTAAAGGCCTTGGTTCATCACATTTTCCTTGAAACGCTTCCAAAAAACACAAGCTGGAAAATGGGTAATGATATATATATCACTTGAGCACTGTCAAGCCACAAACATCAAAGTGTAGTGATCACCTTAAGAAAATAAAGGTAATGTATTAAAAACAGGAGCACCTTTTCTAATCTCACATCCAATGTAGGAATTCCTATTAAAAGCAGCCCTAATAAATATTCAGCTGTCTCCCTCTAATCCCCCAACCCTTACAATTCCTCCAAGGGCAAGAAATGTCTCAGGCAGCAGCCCTCCTTGGCTGGTCAGTTGCCTGTATAAAAGGTTCTACATATGTCAACCTGAACTCTGCCTCCAGGTAGTCTACCTTCTGGAACCAATGTTGCTCTGTTGAAGATATTCAAACAAGTCCACGTCCCTTTCTATAGACTTTTTAGAAAACGGAACATCCAACATGCATCTTATGGCCAACATTTTCACTATTCCTCTTCTATTTCTCTCCAACAGCATCATTCTGGAGGCTCTCTCCAGTCGGTCATGGAGATGGACACACTGCTTTGACTCACTCTTGGTGTTAATACATGCATGTTCCTGCTTAAACAGAGACTTTCCCATTAAACCTAGTCCAACATGATGCATTATTCTATAAGACTGTTTACTGATTTAAAGCTCAGAAGACATGACTAAAAGGCAATGTTTACCTGTATTTGAGCGTCTTCTAATACCAAAGTCCCAACTTGAGGTAATATCGACTGACTGGGCATACACGTAGCCCTGAGTCTCACCACTGCTTCCCTGAGTCTCTGACCCACTGTCTCCGGGCACTGAAGGAGGATGCATCTTCTCTAGGTCAACATCATGATCAATGAGAACCATTTCACACATTCCTGTGTCATCACTGGTCACATGTGACTGTCGAATATGAGCTAGAATGATAGTTGGATTGTCCAAGAAGGCCATCCTTTCTGTGGGCCAATTTCCTTAAAAGGCTATTTTCTCCTCTTCATATTGTTTCACGGGCTCACCTACCTAGAAACATGATGTACACAGCAATATTTAAGAATAAGGCAGAAAACGACTGAATCATTTTTCAAACAAATTCAATGTGGTACAATGCTACTTTGAAACTCAACATTTATTCCTGAACCTAGGAGCTTAAAAGAATTAAGTCTAAGCTGAAAAGAAATCCTCATAAGCACTAGAGGCTAAGGCTCTAACCTAGTCAATGAGATCTCCGTGGTATCAAAAGAAGATGGTTTGCTCTCTTGCAAAACAAATTCTAGCAACTCCTTAGTCCACTCAACGCATATAACTACCGTTAAAACCATAAATTTTCCTTTCTTTCTCCCTTTATTCCATGCAGTCTTCTCATTACATTATAAGGTGATAGAAGAACAAGTTGTATTTTCCTGAAATGATGTGCTAAAGTATGAAACTGCATTTCTTCAGTTTACATTCCCCCGTCATATGGTTGTAAAGTATCTAAAAGGGCAAAGACAGCCCTAGCTGGTTGGCTCGGTGGTTAGAGCGTTGGCCCACTGAATAAAGGGTCCTGGCTTCGATCTAGCCAAGGGCATGTACCTCGGTTGCAGGCTCGGTCCCTGGCCCCCATCAGGGTGTGTGCGGAAGGCAACCAATCCATGCTTCTTTCTCACATCAATGTTTCTCTCTCTTTCTCTCCCTCCCTCCCCTTCCCCCGCTGAAAAGCAATGGAAAAAATATCCTCGGGTGAGGATTAAAAAAAGGGGGGTTACAGACAATGCTTTCTGAGTTACTAGGAACTTTACAAAGATGTACCACCAAAGTGTTTTGTTCAATAAATATATTTTCCTTTCTTCGGACTTAAGATAGTATTGTGCTTTTAAAATAAAACTTATTAATCACACTTGTCTGTTACCATATTAATTTCTTATTTTAGAAATCTAGTTATAAGAACTACTTCCTGAACCCTGTTAACACTGCAATGCTGTTTACTCTGGGAACAAGATGGTACCTCCTCAGTTAAATGGGAATACTCGACAAAGAAATTATCACAGAACAGTGGCTAAGAAAAGGCCCCACTGGCAAAACTGGGTTCAAATCCAGGCTCTATCACCTGCTAGCTATGTGATCCTGGTCAAAATGATGTTAACCTCTTTGAGCCTGTTTCCTTTCTTCACTTATAAAATGGGAGCCTCATATAGAAAATAATGCAGATGGAGTGCTCAAAACTAAATATTAGCTGCTATTAATAACCATAACAACATTATAATAATGATGGCAAAAATATCATCACTAATTTCAGCTTTCAATTTTTGTTTAAAGTAACCCTAAAATATATCAACAATCTGCCGCTCCAGTAAGTTCACAGCAGGTAAAGTGTGTGGTTCCTTTGTGACAGAGGACTCTGCAGGTCATCTGAGTCACCTCCCTGCTCCTCTAACACCAGGATGAAGGACAACGATGTGAAAGCGGGGCTGAATATATTCCTTCAAACAGTCCTAGAATTTATTTTTAGAAAGACTTATAACACCAGATTTTCTTGTCATTTGTTTCTTCTAGAAATGGAACATGGGGGAAATCTAGTTAATAAATCATTATAGCTAACTCAGGTTTTAAAATTTTTGTCTAGCGCCCGGCCGGGCGTGGCTCAGCGGTTGAGCGTCCACGTAGGATCCAGGCGATCAGGGTTGAATTCCCAGTCAGGGCACATGCCCGGGTTGTGGGCTTGATCAATGACTCTCTCATCATTGATGTTTCTGTCTCTCCCTCTCCTCTCTCTGAAATCAATAAAGATATATTTAAAAAAACAAATTTTTTTTGTCTGGTAACATATTCTATTGACATCACTTGGTGGATCTTAAAGATACTGAGGTTAAGAAAAAGTTTAACTAAGGAACATCTCTAAGTGAATTACATTAATCTTAGTTTTTTCCTATAAATATATTCACTGAGTAATTATTTTACACTGAGGCTAATGGGAAATGCAAAGTTAAGTAAGGCATCCCTGAATCAAAAATAATTATAACCTAACACAGACCTGGTATATCTCCCAATATGATGTGATTCTCCCAAGTGTCAAGTTTCTGAGGCATTCAGTCTCAGAAATATTAATGCCATCCTGCTGTTTAAAATGTATTACTCAAAAAAATACTACAGAATTAAAGGGGAGCATTTAAATTTCACTTATAAAAATAAAAACTTCTTATATAGCCACAAAAGATGAATGTAACCACAGAATTACTTTTAAGTGACAGCATTTGTTTTGTAACAGAATCACAAGATCACAGATTGCCAGAGCTGCAAAAATCCTTGTAGCAATCATGGTAAGCGTTTTCCCCGTAAAAGGAAGGCAACTAGTTGCCAGCAAAAGAGGGGCAGGTGCTTTCAACTTCATATTGAATAGTTCCCTCCTGCAAAAACAAGGGCTTCGGTTCCTCACCCTTTGGTGAGGAACATTTAAAAGGTGTCCTGGCACTAAAAAGTCAAATGGCAAAGGGCAAAGCAACAAAAGTATACTGAAGTACCCTAACAGAATCTTTTCAAGGAAAATGGATTTGCTCCATCACCTCTTATGAAGAAAAGTTATGGGCAAACACTTTCTGAGAGCCCACACCAACTCCCTAACTTTATCCTCACAGAACAGAGCCCTTAAAACACCCCAACATGAGCAGATATCTTCTCTATTAATATATTATGACTTCATACAATGAGAAATCTGTATGAATAACTCAAATATGCGTTCTATACCAGTTATTTTCTTTTTTTAAATATTGAGTTTTTAGAGAGAGGAAGGGAGAGGGAGAGAGAAACATTAACGTGAGAGCAAAACATCAATCGGCTGCCTCTTGCACACCCCGTACTGGGGATTGAGCCCAATGTGCCCTGACCAAGAATAGAACCGGCAACCTTTCGGTGCTCAGAAGGATGCCCAACTGAGCCACACTGGCCATGGCAACACCAATTCTGATAGGAAACTTCCCACATGACTGCCTGGGAAACGTGCTTTCCACCTCCTATGACAAGTACTTGAGGATTCACACTGTTAAGTCTGAAAAGAACAGGGGCTATATAACACCACATCCCTTCTGGCAACAAAGGATCTTACACATTTCAAGGAATTCAAAAAATGTTGCTGCCTGACTTCCAAGGACTATACAATTCTGTTGTAGAGATTAGACATATATGAGCATGTCATGTGTAAGTGAGATTATAAAGAAAGGATTGCCTTTTTTCTATTAATACAGATACAAGAGCTTCTCTTCAATGTGCTCTTCAAAATTGTCACCTTGGGACACTATCAACTTATTCCAACACTACTTTTCAAAACCAAAGAATATGTTTTAAATCACTTTAAGAGCAGCAAATTATCATTTGAAGGTCGACTTGATTTCTAACACAAAGATATTCTGAACACAGATTAGAAAAACAAGTTATTTTCTGAGCAGTTGTAGAAAAATTAAAGATGCTTAAAACTAATCTTGGCAGGGGTTCAGAAAAATGGGACTTGTTAAAGGGTAATTTGGGAAGATGGAAAAGTTCTGGAGATGGATGGGGTGATGGTTAAAGAACAATGTGAATATACTTACTGCCACTGACCTGTACACTTAAAAATAGTTAAAATGGTAAGTTTTATGTTATATATATTTAACCACAAGTTTTTAAATTTTTTAAAAAGGTCTATGAAGTGCCAGATTAAACAAAATTAAATGTTTTCTTCTTGCTGTTTATAGCACTTTTCAAAGCTTTTAAACTACTAATGTATACTATGAAGCTCCAAGAGTGGGGAATCTAGTAACACAACATATTCCAAACCCCAAACTTATCTGATCCCTAAACATTTTTTCCTCTATGAAAACTAAAATAAATCGATGTACAACAGAGTTTCACAGAGCATCATTTAGAATTGCTGCTCTACACTTTTACAAATGCTATTTCTTTAAACCTTGAATGACTTTCCTGGCTATTACCAATCTTTGACTCTGAGATAGTTGGTCCTTTTTTTGTACCTTTAGGTTATTGGATAAACAATAATTTCAGGCTCTAGGAGGTCTGTTCTCCTAAGATGTCCTACCCTTCACAGGTTCTCCCACTTTTTAACTTCAGGTTCCTCAAAATAGATGGATTTGTTTTACCAAAAATGGAAGCAATGGGGCCATCATGTAGAATAGGACAATAAGAAATATCCCAAAATGACACGACCATTTTTAATGTACTGGGTGGGTCTCCTTTTATACTCCATTCATTCGTTCAACATATATTTATCATTCACTCAACAAATATTTATGAAGTTCCTATTATGTGCTAAGTGTGGTTCCAGGTGCAATCTGGATGCTAGTGCCACTTTACATAACTATTTGCATTCAGTAATGACCATGTAACTTGCCTGTGGTAACTTGGCACATGCCCTAAACAGAGGGGAAGGGGGAAAGAAGGAGTGAGGTGGGG